ATCTGTTGTTACATGTTGTCTGTATTTCCCATTAGAATCCTTAACATACTTATTTTAACTTTACATAGTTATTTTAAATTTCCTAGATGATAATTTCAAACTCTATGTCATATCTGTGTCTAGTTCTGATGCATGCTTTGTTTCTTTAAACTGTTTTTCTTGTGTTACAGTGAATACTCAGCACCCAGGAAGAGACAAGCAACATGCACTCAGGGAATCAGGAAAGACTATTTATTTCACACAGGTGCCAGCCCAGTGGAGTCACCTCCAAAGGCTGAGCATACTGCTCAGGTTTTACTGATCTTTTACACATATCTGCTTCCGTGTTGGGCTGGACTAGTATAGTCAAGCTTCTGTTTCCTGACCGCTGGCTGATTTGAGAGGCAAGCAATATTGCAGAAGCCAAAAGCATACAAGGGGAGTATCTGACCTCAGACATCTGGCTGGTCCTTTTTAATCTGCTTTTACCAGCTTTCCTTCTCACTTGCTTTTAGCCTGCTTTTATAAGTTTTTGTTGAAAGCTAGACATGATGTGTTGGCTATCGGAGGTATATGGGCCTTTAGTGTGAAGTTTCATGTGAATCTTGTTGCATCCACACGACTCCTGAAACAAGAATGCTACGGACACCAGTGACAGTCACAACAAAGTTTATTACAATGAGAGGCAAGGCCGACAGATCAGGACCAACACTCTTGATAAGAGTGCGCCCCAAACAGCCAGGGTACAGAGATTTATAGCTGATTACATCGTCTTATCATCACCTGGGAACAGAACAAAGAAAGTTTCCAGATGAGTCAGAAACAGTTGCCAGATGAGTTAGAAACAGTTGCCTAATGAGGTGTTTATTTTAGACTTTCTGCCTCTAAGTTGCAACCAGTGGATCTCTTTGACACTGCCTCTGATGCTCTTTTCTTTGAACTTTGGTTTCCTTAATTGGTGAAGCCTAATTTACAAGAGTATGAGGCGTAGTTTACAAGAGTAAAGCAAGGCTGTTATCTTGTAACCTTCAGTATCAACACAAAGCTGTTATTTTTCAAGCAATAGCACTGCTAGGAATTTACCCAAGGGATACAGGAGTACTGATGCATAGGGGCACTTGTACCCCACTGTTTATAGCAGCACTCTCAACAATAGCCAAATTATGGAAAGAGCCTAAATGTCTATCAACTGGTGAATGGATAAAGAAATTGTGGTTTATATACACAATGGAGTACTACGTGGCAATGAGAAAGAATAAAAAAAAAAAAAGAGGTTAGAGTGGAAGAGAGCCAAAGCATAAGGAACTCTTAAAAACTGAGAACAAACTGAGGGTTGATGGGGGGTGGGAGGGAGGGGAGGGTGGGTGATGGGTATTGAGGAGGGCACCTTTTGGGATGAGCACTGGGTGTTGTATGGAAACCAATTTGACAATAAACTTCATATATTGAAAAAAATAAAAAAATAAAATTCAAAAAAAATAAAGATAAAAAATTTAAAAAATAAAAACTCTTCACTATCAATAAAAAATGTAAACAAGTATGGACCTTCAGTTTATGATATGCATGTTGAAGTCTTTAGGGGTGATGTGTGCTGGTTATTGTAAAATATATTGAAATGCATCAGAAAAAGATGAGTTGATGAGTGGAAAGAGGGTGTATAAATGAGTATGAGAGATAAATATAATAAAATGTGTTTTTATGCACACCCACTTTAAAATTCTTTCAACTTTTCTTTATGTCTGAAAAAAATGTTCACAATAAAAAGTTGGAATGAATGTGTCATACTGCATACAATTGTTTCTGATTAATTTTTTCTACATAATACTCCTCATATTGTTGGGTCTCACTGTACATTGTTCATTTTGACTCCTTTGGTGAGCATCTGATTTGTTTCCAGGTTTTTATGTTGTGAACAGGCTTTCATGAATGTCCTTTTACATGTTTTCTGGGCATGTGGGCAAGAGTTTCTCTTGGGGTTACTCCTAGGAGTGGACTCGCAGTGTGGTGAGGTATTTATAGAAGGGGATGCCAAACAGTTTTCCAAAGTGGCTTCACTAATTTATCCTTCCATGAATAGTGTAAGAGATCTTGTGGATCCACACCCTCACCAACATTAAGTCTTGCCCAATTGCTTTATTTTTGCCAAATGAGAGGGTATATATGGGATCTCACTGTGGTCTCAATGTGCATCTCTTTGACCATTAATGATTTGCTAATTTTATTTTTTCTGTTTTAGCTTATACTTAATTCCTCTGTGGATATTTTTTTCCCTTTTCTACAATTAGGACTGAAAGCTTAAATAATCGGTTTCAGTCTTTCTCATTTACTAATAAATTTACTTTGTGATATGAATCGTTGTAAGTATATCACTTTACACATCACATGGATGTTATGTGTAGTGTTCTCATGCTTTAATAGTTCTAAATAGTTGGTAATCTGTTTTAGTTTCCTCCTTAACCTAAGTATTAATTATGTGCAAGTGCTTTTTCTGTCCAGGCATTTGAGTTTTTCGTGGTCTCTTTGTTTTTATCTCCACTTTTATTGCATTGTAGTCTGTGAATATGGCCTGTGTGGTATAACTTGTTAAGATGTGTTATTTCCTTTATGGCATAGTGCAAGGAGAATTTTTTCAGAATGTTTCATTTATGTATAAAAATGTGCATTCTCTGTTGAGTACAAAATAAAGATTGAATGTTGACATACACAATATCAAGTTTTTAAGTTGTATTATTCCAATCTGTATACCTTACACATTTCATCCCTTGACCTGTCCATTTCTGTGAGAAATATAATTCTTATGCTGTAATTGAATATTTGCAAAAACTTCCCTTTTGTATCAGTTTTTGTTTTATGTATTTTAAAAGCATACATGCGCGCGCGCACACACACACACACACATAAATGCTCATGATTGGTGCATTCTCTCAATGGCTGTATGCTTTTAAATGGAGAAATCTGTTTATTTCTCTTAAAATTCATCACTTTGAAATCTATTTTTTCTAATATTAACATTATTAGTTGTGAATATTCCATCCATTTGTTGTCCTCATTAAAAAAAATTGGGGTACCTGGATGGCTCAGTTGGTTAAGTGACCAAATTCGGCTCAGGTCATGATCTCACAGTTCATGAGTTCAAGCCCCCCGTCAGGCTCTGTGCTGACAGCTCGGAGCCTGGAGCCTGCTTTGGATTCTCTGTCTCCCTCTCTCTGCCCCTCCCCCACTCGCACTCTGTCTCTCTCTCTCTCTCTCAAAACTAAATAAACATTTAAAAATTAAAAAAAAAAAACTTTTCAGGAGCACCTGGCTGACTCAGTTGATAGAGCATGTGACTCTTGATCTTGGGGTTGGGAGTTCAAGCCCCATGTTGGGTGTAGAGATTACTTAAAGTCTTTAAATTTTTGTTTTTAATGTTTATTTATTTTTGAGAGAGAGAGAGAGAGAGAGAAACAAAGCGCAAGCAGGGGAGGGGCGGCGAGAAGGAGACAAAGAATCTGAAGCAGGCTCCAGGCTCGGAGCTGTCAACACAGAACCTGAGGTGGGGCTTGAACTCACGAACCCCGATATCATGACCTGAACTAAAGACAGATGCTTAACCGACTGAGCCACCCAGGCACCCCTAAAAATAAAATCTTTAAAAGAAAGACTTTTCATGATGAAATAGCATACCAAATCCCCATGTACCTGTCACTGATGTTTAACAGTTATCAACATTCTGTCTTTCTTGTTCTTCTACCCCTCACTCTTCTACTCCTCACTTGTATCCTCCCTTGTTTGAGTATTTGAAAGCTGATACCAGACTTCATATCGTTTCACCCATATACTTCAGGATGAATCTCTAGCATCTAAGGATACTTTGCTTTCATTTTTTTATTCATCTCCTCCTCCTTTTTTAAAAGTTTTTATTTAAGCAATCCCTATACCCAAAATTTGGGGCTCAAACTCATGACCTCAAGATCAAGAGTCACACGCTCTCCCAACTAAGCCAGCCAGGCATCCCCCTTCTTTTAGCATAACCATCACACATAATAAAATTGACGTTACCATTATCAACCTAACAAAATTGACATGATTGCTGTTTTTTATACATGTCTGTATGCTAGCAAGCTTCTAAAGATTCAATTTCTTCTTTTATTTGCTCAACAAACTATTATCCAATCCAGGGCTGTGGGAGGGACAGAGTACTTGGTCATTAGAGAGTCCAGTCCACTACTGTCCAGAATGTTGAACCGGGGTCCAAAAAGGATGTGACTGGTCTGAGGGCACAAAGATGGAGAATACCAGAGCTCAGGCCTAGGTCTTTTCAAAAAGCTTTCTCCACCTGCTGAGTCAGAAGGGCCTTCAGCTGGTGTGGCCTCTCCTACCCCAGTCAGGGAGGGCTTCCCATAAGAGATATGTGAGCTGGGTTTTGAAGAATGTGTAGCAATTCATCCTTTGAAGACATAGTTACCTCTGCACCGGAGGGTCAATGGCATCTCCGTAATTTCCATATTTGAGGTGTTAAGGGGTAGCAAACTCACTGTGGAGCAGTGTTGAAAATTTGTGGTAATTGCTTCACCTGCATAATTATTACTTAGGTTTTATTTCATAAGGAGGTATGAATAATAGAGTGACCTAGAAGATGCTTTTATTGACACATTACATTTAGATAGAGAAAACAACCATTGACATATCAATGTAAAATTTATTTTTTCTGATGCCTATTATTATTTTAGTTGAGGTGGTTTGGCTGGTGTAGGGGCTGTTTGAGATTACAGTCACCTTTAGGCCCTCACTCCCCTGCCTAAGGTGGTGGGACTAGATGCTACGACTCAGACATTTCTCCCCTCTCCTGTGGTTATCTGGGGGGTGGGGGACTATATGCTCCTACTGCATCCCTTCTAGAACACTCTATAATATCACCCAGGGGAGGCTACTATTGTGACATTTCTCCCCTTCCCCCCAGTATTACCTCTCAGAGTCACTTAGGTTCTCACTCTTTTCATTAGTAATGATTCCCCTCTCCCCTGTGCTCTGTCCCTTAGGCGCCCCATAGTGTCTCCAGAAGAGCTCCAGAGCATAACTCCAAAGACTCCTGTCTCCAAGAAGTCTACTCAAAGAAGGGCTGGCCACCTCTTCCCAGGGCAGCCCCACTGTTCTACTTGTAGAGAGATGGAAGGCAAGTTTCTTCCACCATACGGCATGGACACCCTTCCAAGATGGCAGTCCCCACAGAGCAGCGCCACTTGCGAACAGTCATATTCTGAGCCCAACAGAACTGGGGATGGTAAGGAAACTTTCACAGACTGCTCGGTAACTGCGCCCTGTTGACTGCAGACCGTAGCTTCGCAGGTGCTCTTGAGCATGCGCACCAGACACCCGCCCAACCCATTCCTCCCTTGGACGCCGTGCTATTAAAAGTCAGAACTCAGAAGAGAAGGGGTTTTCAGGGGCATGCGGGTTAGTACTTGAGCCGGGCTGAGGTGAGTTTTCAGTAGTTACCTCTCCTGGTCTACTGTGCTGAGTTATGCAGATCATCAGTGTTGGTGATGGGGCTTGTGTGGATTCAGTGTTGGGGTCTTTCACATTGGATGCCCAGCTAATTGTTATTCAGTTTTAACTTTTTCTAATGTAAGCCTTAAGGCCTTACATTTCCATATAAGGCCCAAAAGATATATTATATGGTATTATTGTTCATTTCCAAATATTTCAAAATTTCAGTTACGATTTTTTTTTCATTTCACACGTGTCATTTGAAGTGCATTTCTATTTGCAATAAACAGTTAATCTGTTACTGATTTCTAACCTAGTTTCTCAGTTTGTAAGAGAATGTGAATTGTGGCATGAATGTTTCTGGAAACCTGTGGAGTCTTGCCTTTATGATAAAGTCCTTTGCATCTTCCCATAAATATTCCATTTATTGCTTTAAAAGAATATGTGTTCCCCAGTTGTTAATTCTGGTTTTCAAAACTCGTATACTCTCTCTGGTCTTTTGTCACCTACTTGCTCTGTAGAGGGCAGTGTGACAGTGATTTTGTGCATTTCGTTTTGCTTGTGTCAATTTTTGTGTATTGTTTGAAACTTATGAGGTACAGGTGTGTATATTTTTACATTAGATATTGCTAGTTGACTCTCAAAAATTTTATATACATTATATTACATACATATATATACGTATACATATACAGTATATTACAGACATATATATGTATACATATATATGTATGTATATATGTATGTATGTACATATATGTATATATACATATATAAGTATATATGTATATAATATGTATATATATATAATATATATTACATACCCAATACATGTAATATATATGTATACATACATACAGATTTATGAAATATTCATACCAGCAATGTATAAATACCCCATTTTCCCAAATCCTCTCCAGCACGGAATGATGTTGTACTTTTCATTTTTATCATTCTGAGGGGTGAATAATTATACCTAGTTCTGTGTTACTTTTTCCACCTCTCAGTGAGGTTGAACATCTTTTCTGGTTAATTGGGCCTTAGATTCCTTCTGTGCATTCCTGTATCCTTTGTTCATTCCTCTTCTCTCCCTCCCCTGGCTTTTACATATTGAACTTTCCTGTACTCCCTCATTTGAACATCACCAGTGTTATATCTATTCCTATATGCATTAAGATCAATGCCTGGACATTTCCCTATATTTTACTGGCTGATTTATCCTTGTTTTGATTGTATTCATTGTTATTGTAAGTTTTTAATTTTTTTAACTTTTTAAAAATTAATTTATTTATTTATTTTTTGAGAGAGAGAGAACACAAGTGGGAGAGGGACAGAGAAAGGGAGAGAGAGAATCCCAAGCAGGCTCCATGTTGTCAGTGCAGAGCCTGATGCAGGGATTGAACTCACAAACTGCAAGATCATGACCTGAGCTGAAGTCATAAGCCAGACACTTAGCCAACTGAGCCACCCAGGCACCCCTAATGTAATTTTTAATATCTGCTAGTTCAAAGACCCTCTCAGTATTTCTTTACATAATTTTCTTGACTTTTTAAATTCCATATAGAGTTTGAAATTGTTTTACCAAATTGGAAAAGAATTGGAATGCTGTTTGGCACTTCATTACTTCAATAGGGTTAACCTTGAAGCAGTGAGGTCTTTATTTTATTATATTTCTGTCCAGGGATATGGTTTGTCTCTCCATGTGCTTAAATTTTGTATCATATTCTAAAATAATAACTATTAGTTTTCTTATTTTGTGTCCAGTACTATTCTTGTATTTTGTAGGATTTTTTAATGTTTATTTATTTTTGAGAGGGAGAGAGAGAGAGAGAGAATGAGAGAGAGAGAGAGAGAAGTACAGACAGAGAGATGGAGACACAAAATCAGAAGCAGGCTCCAGGCTCTGAGCTGTCAGCACAGAGCCCAATGTGGGGCTCGAAGTCACAAGCTGTGAGATCATGACCTGAGCCGAAGTTGGATGCTCAACCAACTAAGCCATGCAGGTGCCCCATATTTTGTGGGATTTTTAGGTGTTTCGTTTGTTGTCATTATTGAAGATAGAATTTTTTTTCTCTCCATATGTTTCAGTCTGCTGTACTTATTTTCTTGTATCCCACCACCTTAATGAAATTTCTTATGCTAATCTTCTGAGTATACAATGATACGACCTGCAAATGGGCTAAATGGGTGGTGGGCATTAAGGAGGTCACTTGTTGGGAGGCGCCTGGGTGGCTCAGTTGGTTAAGCATCTGACTTCAGCTCAGGTCATGATCTCAGGGCTCATGAGTTCAAGCTGTGCTGACAGCTCAGAGCCTGGAGCCTGCTTCCGATTCTGTGTCTCCTTCTCTCTGCTCCTCCCCTGCTCATGCTCTCTCTCTGCCTCTCTCAAAAATAAAAATAAACATTAAAAAAGTTTTTAAAAAGGAGGGCACTTGTTGGGATGAGTACTGGGTGTTATATTTAAGAGATGAATCACTAAATTCTGTTCCTGAAATCATTATAACACTATATGTTAACTAACTTGGATTTAAATACATTAAAAAATAACACACACACACACACACACACACACACACACACACACACACACACTGATTTTCTCTCCCTTCTCCATATTTAACCAGTTTATTTCAGTTTCACATTTAATTGAATTAGCTAGAGCCTTCAAAACACTGTTGCAGTAGAAACAGCCCCATGTTGTCACTAGTTTTAATGGAAATGTCTTCAGCATTTTACCATTTAGTATTATGCTCCCTGGTGATTTCAAGACTATGATTTTTGCTGAATTTTCATAGTTTCCTTATAGTCTTGTTTTAATTTGAGAACTACTGCTGAATTGTGTCAAATGTCTTCTTTATATCTGCTGATACAATTGGGATGTTTTTCCTTTGAAATTATTGATATAGTAAATAAACTGATAAACGTACCAACATTAATCATCTTTGCCTTACTTGAAAACCCAATTTGGTCATGTGGTAAATTTTTCTTTTGATACTTGCTGGATTCAGATTACTAATATTTTATTTAAGATCTTAGCATCTGTAAGAGGAAATAATCTCCAGATAATTGCTTGTTTGTTTTAGGACTATATTTTTTTCTAATGTTTATTTATTTTTTGAGAAAGAGAGACACAGACAGAGACAGAGCATGGGAGGGGGAGAGAGAGAGAGATAGGAAGACACAGAATCTGAAGCAGGCTCCAGGCTCTGAGCTGTCAGCACAGTGCTGGATGCGGGGCTCAAACTCACAAGCCGTGAGATCATGACCTGAGCCAAAGTTGGACGCTTAACCATCTGAGCCACCCAGGACTATATTCTTTAAGGTTAGGTTATAATGTTTCGTAAAATGATTTTGGAAGATTTCCAGGTCTTTCTGTTGTTTAAAATAGGGATTGGCAAACTTTTTCTGTAAAGGGCCAGATAGTAAATATTTTGGGTTTTGCCATTACTGCAGTGTCTATTGCACCTACTAGACTGTGCTATTGTAGCAAAAGCAGCCATAGGCACTATGTAAATGAATGGATATGGTTGTTTCCCAATAAAATTTAGTTCACAGAAATAGGATATGGACCAGGTGTGACCTGTAGCTTATAATTTGCCAACCCCTGGTGTGGAACTGTTTATAAAGTGTAGAAACTCTCTCTCTCTCTCTCTCTCAAAAATAAATAAACATTTAAAAAAATCAGGGGTGCCTGGGTGGCTCAGTCAGTTGAGCGTCCGAATTTGGCTTAGGTCATGATCTCACGGTTTGTGAGTTCAAGCCCCATGTCGGGCTCTGTGCTGACAGCTCGGAGCCTGGAGCCTGCTTTGGATTCTGTGATTCCCTCACTCTTTGCCCCTCCCTTCATGCTCTGTCTCTCTCTCTCAAAAATAAATAAACATTAAAAAAATTTTAGGTGTAGAAATACTCTTTTTAAAAAAAGTAAATTTGCACTCCATATTAAGTCAGTTTCATCCTGGTGTCTTTTTTGTACTTAGTTTTTTACTTTGAAATAATTATGAATTCACAGGACATTACAAAAAAATAATACAGAGAACTGGAGTTTTTTAAAATGATACACATACAAGGGGTGCCTGGGTGGCTGAGTCAGTTAAGTGTTTGACTCTTGGTTTCGGCTCAGGTCGTGATCTCATGACTTTGTGGGTTTGAGCCCCACATTGCCTGGAATTCTCTCTCTTTCCCTGTCTCTTTGCCCCTCCCCTATTCTTCCTGTCTCTGTCTCTCTCAAAATAAATAAATTAATTAAAAAAATAAAATGATACACATACAAACTTTCTGATTTCTTTTCATGGATCATTTAGGGTTTCTTTTGTTGTTGTTTTTTTTTTTTTTGGTAAGTTTATTTGTTTATTTTGTGAAAGAGAAAGAATGAGTCAGGGAGGGGCAGAGAAAGAGGGAGAGAGGGAGAGAGAGAATCCCAAGCAGGCTCCTTGTTGTCAGTGCAGAACTTGATGCGGAACTCCAACTCATCAACCATGAGATCATGACGTGAGCCGAAGTCAGACACTTAACTGACTGAGCCACCCAGGCACCCATGTTGTTTCTTATTTCACATTAATTTTGTAAATTTATATTTTGCCGTGGAAGCACCTGTTTCACCTCCACATTTAAGTGTTGCTATGGAGTTGCCCATGGTATTCTACTGGAAATAATATTTAGTGGAATATCTCCTCTACTAGTAATATCCACTCACTCCTAATATGTATTTTTTTCTTTCAATTTCTTTTATCAGGTATGCTAGGAATTTATTTATGCAACTGATCATTTCAAAGGATCAGCCCTTCACTTTATTTATACGTTATGTGTACGTATAACATACACACACATATAATGCATTTGTTTTATTTTCATTGATTATTACTACTTGAGGGTCTTATTAACATACTTTTGTGTTTTTTCTTTTCTTTAAGTTTATTTTGTTTATTTTGAGAGAGAGAGAGAGAGAGAGAGCAAACAGGGGAGGGGCAGAGAGAGAGGGAGACAGAATCCCAAACAGGCTTCACACCACCAGCACAGAGCCTGATCCGGGGCTCAAACCCATGAACTGTGCGATCA